GTGGTATATACATACAATGGGGTGTTAATTTATCCTTAAAGGGGAAGGAAATTCTGATGCATGTGACAACACGAATGAAGTTTGAAGACATCATACTAAGTGAAGTAAACCAGATGCAAAAGGACAAATATTGTAGATTCCACTTACCTGAGGTACTTAAGGTAATTTAATTCATAAAGATGGAAAGTAGAATGTGGTTGCCAGGGAGTTAGGAGAAGAGAGAATGGGGAGTTGTTTAATAGGGAGTTGGATACAAAGTTCCAGTTTGGGATAATAAAGTTCTGGAAATGATAGCAGTGATGGTTGCTTAATAATATGAATGTACTTGATGCCAGTGAACTGTATACTTTAAAATTGTAAGTTTTTTGTTACATATATTTTACCACAATGAAAAAAGTTTTTTAATGACTATGATTGATATCAGCCAAAGACATATTATCTTCAAAGGAGCCATGGTAAAAATGACAGTTAAAGTCTCAATAGAAATTATGGGAACCAGAATACAGTGGAACATCTTTAAAATTCTTAAAGAAAATCTAATATGGAATTCTGTATTCAACAAGAATCCCTTTCAAAAGTGGAGGTGAAATAAAGACATTTAAGGCAAATAAATAATGAAAGAATTTATTGCCAACAGATCTATATTAAAACAAATACTGAGGACAGACAATACCAAGGTCAGCATGGATATAAAACAACTGTAAAGACAGGTTACAACTAGTGCAATAAAGAAAGAAAAAGATAAAATATATAAAATTTAGAAAGGAAGAAATAAAACATATTTGCTGACTGCGTGCTTGTGTACTTAGAAAATCCAAAAGAATCATTAGAATAAAGTGAATTTATCAAGGCCTAGATATAAAGTAAATAAATAAAAATTACCTGTATTTCTGTATACCAGCAAAAAAATAAGTAATAATTTTTTTTAAGTGATACTGTTTGGTACATCCCCAAAAACATCAATACCTAGAAATAAGGCTAATGAAAGATATGTAAGACCTCGACACTGAAAACTATAAACATTACTAAGGTAAACTAAAGAAAATATAAGTACATGAAGAGATACATACAATGTTCAAGGATTAAAAGACTCAATACTGTTAAGATGTCAGTTCTCCCCAAACTGACCTACAGATTCAATGCAATTTCAGTCAAAATTCCACCAGATAAAGTGAGAGTGTGTATGAATAGACAACCTTATTCTAAAATTTATGTGGAAATACAAAGAGATAAAGAGTCAATCCTTTTTTTTTTTTTTAATTTTATCCTACTCTGAAGGAGAACAAAACTGGAGAACTTAAAACACTAGGTAGCAATTCCTATTATATAAGTATTAGTGTAGTGTTGGCATAAGGATAGACAAATAGGCCAGTGGAACAGAAGAAAATCCAAAAATAAATTCACATATATGTGGTCACCTGATTTACAACAAAGGTGACACTGGAATGCAATGGATAAAGGATGATTTTTTTTTTAAAGATTGTATTTATTTATTTGACAGAGAGAGACACAGCGAGAGAGGGAACACAAGCAGGGGGAGTGGGAGAAGGAGAAGCAGGCTTCCTGCCAAGCAAGGAGCCCGATGCGGGGCTGGATCCCAGGACCCCGGGATCATGACCTGGGCCGAAGGCAGATGCTTAACGACTGAGCCACCCAGGTGCCCCAAGGATGAACTTTTTAATAAATGATGCTGAGTCAATTTGTATTGATATGAGAAAAAATGAATTTTTATCTCTTCTCAAACCATACATAAAAATCAATTCCAGATGGATCATAGACTTAAATGTGAAAGGCAAAACATTAATGCTTCTAGAAAAATATATAGGAGAATACCTTATGATTTCAGGGTTGGCAAAGACATAAAACAATAAAGCTCTAATTATAAAGAAAAAAGACAAATTAAATTAAAATAAAAATTTCTGTTCATTCAAAGACATCATCAGTGTGAAAAGGCAAGCCACAGAGTAGGAGACAATATTGGCTATTTATATATCTAATAAAAGATTTGATTCTGGAATACATAAAGAACTAAAAAAAAAAATCAGTAAAAGTCTGCCAATATATTTTTTTAAATGGGCAAGAGATCTGAACACTTTACTAAAGAAAATATTCAAATAGCCTATAAATATGTGAAAATAATGTTAGTCACCATGAAAATGCAACTTAAATCCACAATGGAACATCTCCAGAATAACTAAAAGGAAAAAGATGATACCAAGGTTAACAAGGATTTAAATGGTGTTAAAGAGTATTTGGTTCAAATTCCAGCTATGCCACTTGCTAGCTGTGTGACTTTGGGAAAACCACTTACCCTTCATGGGTCTCAGCTTCAACATCTGTAAAATGAGAATAACAAATAACTCACAGTGTTGTGGAAATGATTCATGTTAAGTGCTTCACATAATCCAGATTGTATCAGCTATTATATCATTTAATCTTCACAATAACCAATAAATTTAGCAATATTATATCATTACAGATAAGGAAATTGAGGCCTACAAAGATAAATCACTTCTCACAGTTATTAAGAGATAAAGAGGAGAGTGAAATACATTTCTATCTCAGCTCCAAAGTCCTTACTTTTAGTTACTATGCATACTAATTACCAATTCCTCTCTTGGCAGATATGTAAAGAGCGTATTGAGTAGTTGCCAGACATGAATATTACTAGACACAATATCAAACTTCTTTTTTTTTTTTTTAAGATTTTATTTATTTATTTGACAGAGAGAGAGACAGCGAGAGCAGGAACACAAGCAGGGGGAGTGGGAGAGGGAGAAGCAGGCTTCCCGCTGAGCAGGGAGCCCGATGCGGGACTCGATCCCAGGACCCCGGGATCATGACCTGAGCCGAAGGCAGACGCTTAACAACTGAGCCACCCAGGCGCCCTCAAACTTCTCTTATAGCTGTTAACATGTACATTTATTGTTCAGACTCCTTCTCTAGGTTTTGAAGTTCTATTGCATGGTCTGCTTGCCTGGATTCCAAGTCCTGCTATCCTAACCATGGCCTAGCTGTAGATTTTTTTTTTTTTTTTTTAGATTTATTTGTTGATTTTTAGAGAAAGAGAGAGAGAGTGGGGGCAGGGGGAGGGGCAGAGGGAGAGGGAGAGACCATCTTAAGCAGACTCTGTGCTGAGCATGGAGCCCCACTCAGGGTTTAATTTTTTTTTTTTTTAAGATTTTATTTATTTATTTGAGAGAGAATGAGAGACAGAGAGCATGAGAGGGAGGAGGGTCAGAGGGAGAAGCAGACTCCCTGCCGAGCCCGGAGCCCGATGCGGGACTCGATCCTGTGACTCCAGGATCATGACCTGAGCTGAAGGCAGTCGCCTAACCAACTGAGCCACCCAGGCGCCCCTCAGGGTTTAATTTCACAACTCTGAGATCACAACCTGAGCCAAAACCAAGAGTTGGAGGTTCAACCGACTGAGTCACCCAGGTGCCCCAACATAGCTGTAGATTTTAAAATATGCTGCCTGGTTTCTTGGTGTTATGTTTGCCTGCTCCTGTCTATCTGCCTAGTTATGACTCACAGTTTCTCCTTAGTTAGGTCACAGCTCAAATGTCACCTTGATCACTGTAACATCTTCCAGGTTTATTTTCTCCAGTACTTAATCACAATCTGAAAATACTGTTTATTGTCTTTCTCTTCCAACAAGAATATAAGCTCCATGAGAGCATAAACCTACATTTGTTTTATTTTGTTTTGCTGCTTATCTTCAGAGCCCAGAAGAATAGACATTCACCCAGAAGAACATTCAGTCATTATTGCGTGGATGAACTTTGTGTCCTGACCTCACAACTCTTGTGCACTCCAGCTCAAATTTTTTAATGGTTCTAGCCCCTCAGCCTAACCTTTCAGAACTTGACACAGCTTAGGTGATTTCACTCACCCTCCTTGTTCATAGAGCTTACTCACTTTTAACTTCTAGTCTAACAGTTAATGACAGGTTGTCATTCTAATGACCAAATAGTTTTTATATTCCCTTTAATTAAAATGGAATTTTACTTTAAAGGGACTTAGAGATATATTTTTTCATAAGATTTTAAAAATAAATGTTATTTTCTGTTTTAAGTCATAAGTTAGTTATGATCCCTTATAGGATTTTACACACTAATATTTTACTTCATTAAAATGAGGCAATATATGTAAAGCACCTAGCATATGTGGTAGCTACTCAAATGTTAATGATTCTTTTCATTAAAATTTTTAATTATTAAAATTGCTTGCCTTTTTAAAAAAAGTACGGATACTTGAAATACTGTGGGGTTTGGTCTTATCAAGTACCTAAAAATTCAGACTTAAAGTTTTTAATTTTGTCCTCAACAGTAACTCAAGAATTGAAAAATATTTTTATGGCAGATACTCTTCCTACACTCAAAGACAGCAAAAATCATAGAGAAAGTAGGAAAAATAGATATTTTAAAATAAGTTTCCAGACCTAATTCTTCTCTGGATGTGGTCCTATTTCATTCTTTTTTCTAGTTCATTGTTAGTCAAAATAAAATTTATTTTATTTTGTTTAAATGTTAGACCCATGGATCTTTCCAATGGACCACATATAAAGACAGTATGTATCAGTAACTTACAGATGTAGGTATTAATGTAGTTGATCATATTTAATTTAAAAAAATTTGGACTCTCTTCTGACAGGAATGTGACTGAAGATAGAGTAAATCAATGGTGGAAATTATTTCAGTGCATAAAATAAAGAACTGAGTTTTCTGATACATGCTTTTAAGATATGACCCACCATTATGAACTACTGAAGTATTAAATTTCTGTGTGATAATGGTTTTTAAAACGTATGCACATGATTTTGCTTCTTAACTTTACAATGAATATTTGGAGCTGTCTTAACTATAAAGATATCTGACTTGACTGTGATACAACTTTCTGATAAAAAATCATTAAAAAATTAATCCCACTTAACCATGTTTGTTTCAGATGGATTTATAGTACTATTTTATTCAAATTATTTTTCTTTTAAATATTAGCATGTACACCACAGAATCACAAAATGAACATCTGGAGGATAAAAACACCTCATCATCTACAACTCCTCAGGTAAAAACCGAAAACTATTTTGTAATATATGACATAGAAATCAATCTGAGCTTAAAATTTATTTGTCAAGTTTACTTATTAGGTTTCTATTATATGTCTGGTTAAAAAATGAGAAGTGGTCATTTAAAAATAACATTTAAATAAGTACTAAGAAATGAGCAAAAGGAATGAAAAGATGGAAAGGGGCGACTAATGATTATTTTGGAGTAAAGAGAGCAGATTTCAGGAATAATGGAAATACAGCTTATTATTTCTTGCCATATCTAGGAAAAGCTCAGTAATTTAGACTACAAGAGGTAAAGACAAATTAATTAAAATGTTGTGCTCTATGTTTGAAAAGAACCAAGTTTTTATTTTTCCAAGTGTACAGAGTAAGTCATAGACCTTCTGTTGATCTAGTTTTACTGTGTAATAATTGCTCATAATTAGAATTATAAATTGTTTACTTTTTTAAAAAATGTTTACTTTTTAAAATAGAGGTTTCTATAGTTCTTAAGGGCCCAAAAGTTCTTCTTTTAAATATTTAAAATATTCACCATTGATTCAAGTTATTTGTCTGTAAAGACTTCATCCTAGTCTATGTCAATTTATTATAAATTCTGAAATAATAAAACTTAAAATAATATGGTCTTACCTCATATGACCTTTTACCCACACTAATCAAAATTCATCTTTGTGTCTTTACCTTGGCCCTTTTGTATAGTGACAGACTTCCCACAAAAGTCTCTATACCAGAACTCCAACAAATTAATCATGATCAGATTTAAAGAACTTTGATATTAAAAGAACTACATAATTCATTTACATCAGCTGCTGTGGTGCCTTTGCCTCCCTAGTCATTAAATATTTCCTCTTCACTTCCTTAATCTGTCCCTTCCTCTATCCCTTGTTACCATTTCTTGTGACAATGCAATGTTCTCTCTCCACTGCACTCAAAGTATTATCAATATACTCAAAGTGTTGGCCTGTGTGTACACATGCATACATGTGCATGCAAACACAAACACACACACACACACACACACACACCATGATGGCAATAAGACAAATTTGAAGATTTCTATTTCAAGGTTAACCCTACTCTGTTTTGTTCTTTTATTTTTTGTCTTGTTTTGTTTACCTTGGGAGAAACCTCTCAATATTCTCACCAACTAAGATGCCTTTTTTTTTTCTAAATCAGTTTTATAATTAGACTAACCACCATTAAAAGCCTGGAAGATGCAGCTAACCCCTGAACTACCTAAGGGTGTTATCTATAATTAATAGTGGGAGCATGAACCTTAAATTTCCGAAAGCTTGATCTGTTTTTCTCATTTTTCCAGTTATATAATTTTTCAAATGAAATGAGTCCAAGTAAAATTATATTTCACCTCCTTTCCAACTTAGTTGTATTTTCATTCTACAAAAGTTTTATTGAATAATCTTTGGGAGTAAGACTGAAGAGGAACACTTTTAATTATTCTGCCTACACTATGGGCTCACTTATTCAGTTTGCATAAATCACAAATGAAAATAGCAGGGACTCAAGTCTATAAAAGCTAAATCAAGGTGCTCTACAAAATGCATTCCTGTGACGTCCTCAAATACCTAATGATATAGTGCATGAATATTCTTTTATATGTGTAATTCTCCATGGTGACAGTAATAATCTGAATTTAATTATGAGATTTGGTGGTTTTTTACATTCATAAAATTGTATGAAAAGTATATTTCTTAAAAGATTTCCTTGCTTTACTTCAGATCCTCAAAGATAGTAGTATTAGTGAACATGAAGAAACTAAGGAAACTGTCTTGTCACAAACAGAGGAAACAAAACCACAGATGGAAAAGACGTACTCTTGTCCCCCACAAGGAAAATTGAATAAACTTATTACAAATGGTATGTGAAATAAGAAATGTAAGTGGAGAGAAAATGAGAGATATATTTGATAAATATATATTTTTACAGATTTTATTCATTTATTTGACAGAGAGAGAGCACAAGCAGGGGGAGCCCCAGAGGGAGAGGGAGAAGCAGTCTCCCTGGTAAGCAAGGAGCCCGATGCAGGGCTCGATCCCAGGACCCTGGGATCATGATTGAGCCTAAGGCAGACACTTAACCGACTAAGCCACCCAGCTGCCCCTATATTTGATAAATATTAGAACACAAACCAACAAGGCTACTGCCAAGTCTATATATTTGATGTATACTCCAGCTATATACTTCAGCTCTTATTACAAGCAATATGTGGACAAAGAGGAAATATTTCCTTAACTCTGTCAAAAACTAATAATATTTGCTTAACAGATACATATTTTAATGTTTTTCATGACTTCTTATATTAAATCTTGAGGATTAGAAACAGCATTGATTAAGAGGCGCCTGGCTGACTCAGTCAGTAGAGTATCCGACTCTTGATCTCAGGGTTGTGAGTTCAAGCCCCACATTGGGTGTGGATTCTACAAGAAAGAAAGAAAGGAAGGAAGGAAGGAAGGAAGGAAGGAAGGAAGGAAGGAAGGAAGGAAGGAAGGAAGGAAGAGAGAAGGAAGGAAGGAAAGGGAAAGAAAGAGAAAGAACGGGCATTGATTAAAGATTTTTACTTAAAGCCACTTTTGATATTTAGTTTTTTTAAGATTTATTTTTAGAGAGAGTGTGAGTGCGAGTGGGGGAAGGAGCAGAGGGAGAGAATCTCAAGCAGACTTTCCACGGAACCCAGAGCCCAATGTGGGGCTCAGTCTCACAACCCATGAGATCATGACCTGAGCCAAAATCACCAGTTGGACACTTAACCGACTGAGCCACCCAGGCACCCCTGATACTTAGTTTTAAGTCAGCTGAAAAGAACATTATACTCCTGGCAATATTAAGGTTCTTAATAAAATTAAGACCCAAATTTTTAAAAAGCTGCTGCCTTGTAAAGAATTGTATAAAATTTGCTTTACCATTAAAATGTTAAAGCATGTCATTATCATATATTTATAAGTTGTCACCTAATATTATTAAAAGATTTTCTTGATTTTTTTCTAGATATTCTATATGATTTAACTTAGAGAGATTTGGGCCTCCAGAAATATAGAGCCTATGCAGAACAAAATTTAGTTTAAAATATGATGAAGGATAAGTAACTGAAGTTTTAAAATTTTCTTTTCTTTTTTTTTAAAGATTTTTGTTTATCAAGAGGGAGAGTGAGAGTGCACATGTGCAAGCTGGGGGAGGGGAAGGGAGAGAGAAAATCTCAAGCTGACTCTGCACTGAGTGCAAAGCCTGACGCAGGACTTGATCTCATGACCCTGAGATCACGACCTGAGCAGAAACCAAGAGTCGGACACTTGTGACCGACTGAGCCCTCAGGCAACCCTAAAATTTTACTCTATTTGCTGCTTGCTAACTTTAAACTTTTGAAACCAAATTTTTTTAATTGATTTTCCCTTTAGTAAAAGTTACTTTTTAATTAACATCAATATTTTTAAGGTTCTAAAGCTGAACTTGAACATCTGACAGTGTAAAGTGATCAGACTCCTTTGTAAATATAATGTCTGCACATAGATCTTACATGCACAATTCCCACATTCTATATAGTGAGCATTGTCTATACAGCAATTGTTAGGAGTGGGGTCAGGGCCTGTGAAGAGAGGAAAATGTATTGGTCACAAAAGATTATCCACTGAGATTGAGAACTGCAGTTTGCTCAGAAACTAGGAGTTTTATAACACCAGTATTGAAACTATAAACATACTTGGTTCTCTAACTTGTTTTCCCCTTTGTTTTCTTTCATTTTTGATTTTTCAAATTTAGAGAAATTTATAGGAAAAGGATCTTCCATGTTTCTATCTTGGGGTGTGTATATCCTTGTATTCTCTTTTTCTGTCTCTGTCTTTCTGTCTCCATCTCCATCTGTCTGTCTGGGTCTTATCTCTGCCTCTCTCACACACACACCCATACACCCTACATTCACTAAAGAAACTCTTAAAACATATTCTCTAGATAATAGCATATGTTCTAGATAATGGAGATAGAGCTGCAGTTTCTCTATAAATCATATTTAATTCACCAATCCCATAGTGCATATAAGTTAATTTAGTAAGAAATCTAAACTCTCAACCACATGTAGAAATCAGTCTCATCACTTTTAATCACACTATTTATGTTTTTTACTCAGGTGGTATCTTGCCTAGTTCCAAAGAAATAGATATTCTAGGGGAATAGGTTTGGATTTTAGGCTATTATTCCTTTTTTGTTTCTTTTGAGTTTCCTTTCAATAAAGATACTTTATTTTCAATAAAAGGTACTTTATAACTATTTTCATAAAGTTGTTTTTCCTTTAAATAAAAAAACAGAAAGCTTTATTATACATCCAACTATGATTTTCACATAATCTTAGGGCCAGAATTTCTCCATTAAAATCTTATCATCAGTGTTATGAAGTAACACTTGATGTTACTTGAAAGTTTAGAGCTCAAAAATAATATCCCAGACACTTCCAATTTCTGGTCCAGCATCATTCCTCTACCTTAACATATAAAAAGCTAAACAAACTGAAAAATTAACAACTCTTCTTAGTTCCACCAAATGAAGTAAGGTTAGAGGGCAAATACCTGCCCCCAAAATTGGAGACAGCATGTGGATACAGAGAATCATAACTTATCGGAGCAGAAACCTCTGCAGGAACCAGTACTAGGGGTAGGTAAACCTAAATTGTAATTGACAAATTGGCTAGAGACTCAGTGTGGACAAGTCTGAGGTGGGGGTAGATCAGTCATGGTGTGGGAAACACACTTTTCTGAGTTTTACCTCCAGGAGCCATCTGGCAGGGGGAGGGGGAAAGTAATCATATGCAGTATACCAGAGATTTCTACTCTTCTTAAGAATACCTTCCCTCAAGAGAAACTGTTTTATCAGAACCTAACCTACAGGGATTTTATCAGAACCAAACTGACGTGGGAAAGGAGAAATAACCAACAGTTGCCCCCTCTATATAACCTCCACTAACCACCTTATAAAACCTAATGGGGTAGGAAAAAAAAACAAAACAAAACTGAGAGGCACTTGTGAGGTTCACAGCCCAGGATCACAGGCTCACTAAAGACTGGTTCAGAACTCTATAGAAGTCTTCCCCTTCCCCCACAACTTACCACTATATTACCAAAGGTCTTTTTACCCAGGACGATATATTCACTTTTAAGCAAAAATATATAAGATGTATTAAAAAGCAAAACAAAACAAACAAACAAAAAAACCGCACACACACAGTTTGAAGAGACAAAGAATCACTAGACCCAGATATTGCAGGGATGTTGGAATTATCAGACTGTGAATTTAAAACAACTATGACTAATATACTTAGGGCTCCAATGGAAAAGTAAACATGTAAGAATGGAAAGGTAATATAAGCAGAGAGCTGGAAGTTCTAAGAAAGAACCAAAAAGAAATGCTAAAGAAATTTAAAAACACTAATAGAAATGAATGTCTTTGATGGATTCATTAATAGACTGTACACAGCTGATGAAAGAATCTCTGAGCTTGTGGATCTGTCAATAGGAACTTCCAATGCTGAAAAGTAAGGAGGAAGAAAAGATTGGAAAAAAGGAACAGAATATACAAGAACTGTGGGACAACTACAAAACGTATTGGGAATGGGGCGCCCGGGTGGCTCAGTCATTAAGCGTCTGCCTTCAGCTCAGGTCATGATCCCAGGGTCCTGGGATCAAGGCCCACATCGGTTCCCTTCTCAGCAGGAAGCCTGCTTCTCCCTCTCCCACTCCCCCTGCTTGTGTTCCTGCTCTCACTATCTCTCTCTGTGTCAAATAAATAAATAAAATCTTAAAATAAAAGTAATGGGAATAGCAGAAAAGAAGAGAAAAGGCAGCAGAAGAAATATTTGAAACAATAATGGCTAAGAATTTCCCCCAAATTAATGTCAGATAGAAAACCACAGATCCAGGAAGCTTAGAGAATTCCAAGCAGGATAAATACCAAAAAACAAACAAACAAAAATACTACACCTGGGTATATCATATTCAACCTACAGGAAATCAAAGATTTTTTAAAATCTTGAAAGAAGCCAGAGGAGGAAATAACACTTTACTGATAGGGTAGCAAAGATAAAAAATATATCTGACTTACCTGCAGAAACAATGCAAGCAAAAAGAAAGTGAAATGAAGTATTTAAAGTGTTGAGACCAAAACAACACACCAGCCTAAAATTCTGTACGCTACAAAATCATCATTCAAAAGTTTAGGAGAGGGATTCCTGGGTGGCTCAGTCTGTTAAGTGTCTGATTTTTGAACTGAGGTCATGATCTCAGGGTTGTGAGACTTAGCCTGGGCATGGAGCCTGCTTAAGATTCTCTCTCTCTCTCTCTCTCTTCCTCTGTTCCTCACCCCCAAATTAAAAAAGAAAAGTGAAGGAGAAATAAAGAGTTTCTCAGACCAACAAAAATCAAACCAGTAAATCTGCCTTGCAAAATGTTAAAAGAAATTCTTCAGAGAGAAAAAATTATATAGGTCAGAAACTCAGATTTACATAAAGAAGGAAGAGCATCAGAGAAAGAATAAGTGATGGTAAAACAAAAACATGTTTTTAATATTCTTAAATGATTGAACAGATAACAGTTCACAATAATAGCAAAAATATATTCACTGATTATAGCTAATACATAAGTGAAATGAATGAAAGCAATGATACAAGAAACAGGAAGAAGGAATTAGGAATACTTTGTTTTTATAAGGTACTTGCACTACCCATGAAGTGGTAGTGTTATTTGAAAACGGACTTGGATTAGTTGAAAATGTATTTTACAAACTCTAGGCAACCTCTAAAAAGAAAATGAAAAAATAAATATAACTGATATGCTAAGAAAGGAGAGAAAATGGAAGTATATAAAATGATCAGTTAATTG